ATGTTTCTGTGTGTGTTTGTGTGTCCACATTTTTGGGCGCACGAATCAACCGATTTGAATGATTCAAAAAACATTCGATGCCTATTGATAGAGAGATGTGCTGATTCGTTTTTGGCAAAGCCAGGTCCAGTCGTGACGGAGATAAAGAGGAAATAGTGTAGACTGTAGAAAATAGGAATTTAGTTTTTGAGAGAACGGAACATCCAATTTGATTGATCTAAAAACATTCAACTAGTGATGATTGGGAGAAATGGCTATTAGTTTTGGCAAAGGCAGGCCCAGTTTTTTCGAAGATACAGAGCTACATATACAAAAAATGACAGTTTTTGAGAGAAATAAGCCTCCGAATTGAATGATTCAAAAAACTTTCTGCTTTCTGCTGACAAAACAATTGCTTTTGGAAAAAAAATGCATTTCATTTTTTTTGTATATCGAATATAATTCAGATCTCAATTTTAATTCTGGCTGAAGTTTTAAAGCTCACTTATATACTTTGAATAAATATTTTGACTTTGTGATTCAGTTTATATAATTCTTAAATCTATAATCTATAAATATCTATAAATATTAGACAGTGTTACAGTATTTATAATAATCTATTTGAAAACATTCAGTATTCCTCGAACATTTCGTTATGGTACGGGAAGTTCCAGCAATTTGTCTTAAGGCACGATGCCAAACACCACTAGTTACATATCATTTTTTTGACTCACAATCAAATAGAATTACTAGTATAATATTGATAGATAGGTAGACATGAGGCGGATATACATGAAATAGGCATCTAAATGAACCGGTCTATTTTATATCTTATTAAACTGGTCTACTGAATATATATAATATATATATCAAAAAAATATTGAATAAATCGATGAATTACACTTACCGGGAACTTCATGCAACATGCCACAACAAAAAATGCCACTTACAGTTAGATAATGTATGCAATACTATACCTAAATTCCGTCAGAATCATATAAATCTTATCCTCGCATTGAGCTCAAACTTTGCTGGAATATTGATTGACCCTGTGTCCAAAATCAGAGCCCAATCTGTTGCGATATTTAACGTAAATGTTGGTTCTAAACGATTTAAATTATCCATTTTCGACAAAATTTGCATATTTTCCGAAATCGCTGGTTAATCTTGAGCACAATAAACTGTATACTTTAACAAATAAAAACGTTCTTGTACTTTGAAATATATAAACTAAAAACAAAAATTATATCACTCATTGTCATTCAAACAGCAATGTGAAGAGGTCGTCATCTCAGGTAGACTAAAAAGAACTGACCTAGACTGACCTCAAATCCCATATAAAGCATGGGCCGAGGAATTTTTTGAAAAGAAAGAGACAGGTATCATGGAATAGAAAGGAATAGTTCTGTTGGCATCAGGGCCGGATTTAGAAATTTGGCGCCCCGGGGCACTGACAAAAATGCCGCCCCATCCCTGAAATTTTACGAACTTTGGAACTTTTTTTAAAGCAATCGCGCTGCTTTAGCTGCGAGGGACAAAAATATAGAAGCGCGTAAGCGCCGCGTCGCAGTCTAACGGATAAACAATGTTACAAAACTTATATAAATGTAAACAAAATTTATACTTATTATTTTAATATCTTTAAAATATCTGATAATTTAATGTGCATATGTCTTATGATCACTTTTGTCCGCCAAATGTTTCTTTTTCAATTTTTTTTATTGGATCATCGAAACCGCTAAACCTGCCCCCCACAAATTTAAGCAGTTATTTATTCTGTAAATTTTTTTGAATGTTTATTCGACGCTTTTTTCTCAAAACTTTGCAAAAAGTTTATAATTTTCGAAAAATTTCAAATACAAAAAATGTATTTTAGAAGTTTTTTTTCATTTTTCAATAAAATTTAAAGCTCTTTATGAAATGTAATTTCAGTACGGGATGTTTCAGTAATTTGTCTTAATGCACAATGCCATGAGTCACTAGTTTAAATTTTTTTCGACGCTATAAGCTTGGAAGTGCACAAATTCGTCATTTTAAGAGGGCTCGAGAACTGTAGTAAATATTTTTCTTAAACTTTCAGCTTGTTTACGGATCTTTATATTAGCCAAATTGCCAAATTTAATAACTTATGAACCATTTGATAATTTACGTTCGGAGGGAGGCAAGGCAAAATAATAAATTTTAAATAATCGGTTATTTCAACCCAAATTTTGCATTGCAATCGTATTATGTTTTGTTGTTATATTTCTTGAAATATAAAAATGTTGTTAAAAAAATTTGATTATATTGTATAGAATTTTTTTCTCACTATCCAAATTTTGCCGCCCCCAAAAATTTGCCGCCCTGGGCAGTAGCCCCGATTGCCCCTACTGTAAATCCAGCACTGGTTGGAATATTGCAAATCCGAGATGGCGACTATATTAAAAACGTTACATGTAATATATCCATCAGATGTCGCCAACATCTTTATTAACAACTATTATTCGAATGGAAGACATATTTTATACCTTCTGGTTTTGATTATTATATATTTATTGTTAGCAATCTCTGCTTAATGTTAATGCTCTTGTAAAACAGATTGCAGAATAATTATTAAATAATAAAAAGACATATTTCATAATAATAGCTTACATAATCAAAAAATAATAATTAAACTAGTGGGGTGCATGGCCGTAATTAAACATTCAAAGAATTAAAATAATCAATCATCAAAAAAGTCTATGAATAAATATTATAACAAATGACAAAAAATGTGAAAACTTTTTAGATTAGACGACGTTGTTTTATATATGTTTGAATGAAATATATAAATAAACAAAATCAAATTAAGTGGACTTATTGTTAGAATGAACATATTTTAATTCAAATGCACCAATTATTTCATTGGCGAAATAAATGCACTGCGTGGATTTTAAATAGTTAATGCAGTATCAACCATACAAACATAAAAAAATTAGAAAATAATTTACAGACGTGGGATTCGAACCCGATCAGTTCTGACTTTCTTATCTACTAATGCGAAATGACGCGTTAACCAACTGAGCTATAACGAAATGCTTCTCGGGCACAACACTATGATCGGATGTCTAGGATCTAATCGGAATTTCTGCATTTTTTGCTTTGTATCTTCGAAACGGCTAGACCTGCCTATATCAAAAACTAAACAGTACGTCTCCACATCAATACGAATCAAATGTTTTTTGAATCACTCAAATCGGCCAATTTGTTTTCTCAGAACTTGCCATTTTTGCACTTTTTGCTCGTATTATTGAAACGGCTAGACCTGCCTTCGCCAAAAACTAATTAACACGTCTCCTTATCAATACGAATTGAATGTTTTTTGAATTATTCAAGTCGGTGCTCCCGAAATCGTCGACAAAAATTTGTATCCACACACACGCACATACACACACATACATATACACACGTATACATCCATTTTTTCTATGGTATTCCAAAACTTACTTTGAAACGTAAGATATATAAAAAATTTCATTTTCGATTTTTTGGAATTACTATAACTTACCCTACAGGAAGTTAAAAATATTCATTGAGGGCGTCGTCAATATTCATTAATAAAAACTATTTAGAATGACGTACAAATCTTATCGAGTTACAGACATATTTTATAATAATAGCTTACAAAATCGAAAAATAAAAATTAAATGATAGTAATCTTTGTGATTTCAGGAAATTTGAAAAATAGAAAAATTAATGTACTTTTTATTATAATTTTTATATGTTCAAAATATAATTTATATTTTACATATTTTTATGCTATTCAAAATTGATTGAATACTTTGATGATAATTGTGCGTCACAAATTAAAACTCTAATAGCATTACTCATTCGCTATAAATATTTGTTGAATTATTTACATTAATAAAATGCAATACTTTCATACAGAAAGCAGATATAGTCTAAAGTTAGCGAATAGTATTTATTCTTGCAATTATTCATCTTATTTATCAAATTTGATGTTTGGAGGAATATTCAAATATAGCAAAATTATTTCCAAAATAAATCTAGTTCTTCAATATGATATTTTTTTAATTTATCAATAAATATGTTTGCTTCAAATAATAATTTATGATAACTTTTACACTTCTGCTAGTGTGAAGAGTTATTTTTATGTAGTTGCTTCCTCACAAGGAGTTCCTGAAATTGCATCTTTGACTTTTACTTTCAGTATGCGATAGTTGATTTCATTAGGATCCAGTTTTTTATATAAAAATTGCGGCATTTTGTTTGAAAGTATCCACACATTTTTCTCAGAATCAATCTGCGAAAATTTTTCTCGTATAGGTTTTTTAAAAATTAAATTATAAGCATATTTATAAGTAATTAAATATTATAAAACCTTATACTAAGAGACCGTTTCTGCCGTAAAACAAATCAATGTTATGGCAAAGCTATGTTACGTGTTTCCATATAAAATGATACTAAAAACTGTCAAAATGTTATTTATTTGCTGTGAGATCAGGCTTTTTACATATAAAATGCAACTTCACTCAAATGATATTATGCCATGTCACAAAAATACAGTTATAGTCTAGATTGTTTTCTATCTAAGACGCCTGACTGCACGGCAATCACATAGCATTTAGACAGTATTTAGTACCATTTTGTATGAGAATCGCTACGTAACATAGCCTTGCCATAACATTGGTCTATTTTAAGGCAGAATCGGCCCTTAAATTTCCGATAACTTATAATCAATATTTCAAAAGTATGAATATTAAAAAAAAATAGCATAATCAATTAATGAATTAATTCCATATACGATATTTCATGTTACATGAAATATACCAGTAATTGAATTGCTTGTTCAAAAAAATAAATTTTCAAGGAGTTTTTTACTGGTCATAATCTTAAAAAAAAATCAGTTAAGAAAAGTTTCTTTGTTGCCGTAAATTGTTTTGTTTTTCCCATAACTTCTTGCGGATAGTTAAGTAACTAGAAAAAATTTAAATAAACGGAAAAAGATTACTGCATAATTTGTAATCCAAAGTAATGTTTATTATAAAAAACTATTGATTAGAACTGGAATAAATTAATATTATTAAAAACAATAAAATCTTAGTGCAATATAATTTAGCTAATAGCTAACTAAATACTTACAAATATCTCATCTGGAAATATTAACTTTTCTACATCGTAATCAACAAGACCTAAATTTGAAACAATATATGGTTTTGCAGAATTCCAGCATGTGATACTGTATTTATTTATCTGTGAACATATAATTTTATTAATTTAAGTTGGATAAATTTTAAAGCACAGTTGGTGATAAAGAATCTTGATATACGAGTTATTATAACTATGGTTTACCATATAATCTTCAAAATAAGAATAGCATTTCAATACTTACTTCGGCATAAAATACTACACCAGATTCTTCATCCATGTAGCTTGAGGTACATTCAGCATTTGGTCCTCTATCACCAATAAGCTAAAACATTTAAGAAATTTTTTACATTCATAATGACAATTCATAATTTTAATTCAAAGTTTTTATCATATTTTCATAACACTTGATTTGAACCATAATATTTTAATTTCAAATAGAATACTATGGCAATATTTTATATACATATAGATTATGTAAATCTAATTAACTTATAATTTGGTAAGCTAATAAAATAAATATAAATTGTAAATCTATTTATATAATTAAAATATTTTCATAAATATTGACAAATGACATTTGACGATTTTCATGTCAACATTTATTCAAATTTATAAACATTGACTTTTAATTAGATTTAAAACTATAAATTGTGATTTTGAATATAGCATTTCATCTAATTTCGATATAAATGCTGGGTATATCTATATATGTATATGTATAGATATACTTTTATTGTATTGTGAATTAAATTTTTTGAACTGTCAAATTTTCTTTTCAAAAATCATAAATCTTTTTTTCTCGAGTTTTCCATAAATTTTGACATTTGTCATTTTAGTGTTTTGTTTTTTTTCTGGCTATTTTATGTCAAAATTTTTAGAAATTTATAAAAATTACATATTTATATTTTAAATTTACTTTTCAAAATTTCCTATAACCTAAGTTGGATATATAGGCACACGTTGAGCCAATAAAATTTAAAATCGGTCCAGTAGTTTGGGCGTCCATCGCGAACCAACATCGTGACACGAGATTTATATATATATAGATATATATATATATATATATATATATATATATATATATATATATATTGAAATATGTGAGTTTGGTGTTGATATATATTTTGATGAGTTATTTAGAATCGGGCAGTAACACCAAGTAAAAAAACTAAAGTAGTTTTGAAATACTTTATTTATCCATACATTTCGGTCTTCATCGAGACCATCATTCAATGGAAAAACTAAAAGATTTTATATTATGTAGGAGGAAAATAATATAAAGTTATAGAACTTATATATAAATACTAACAGAAATTAATTATACAAAATACACTATACTACACTAACTGTTCCAGTTATTAATAGCTTGGTTTATCACAGTGTAATAGTGTAGTGTATTTTGTATAATTAATTTCTGTAAGTATTTATATATATATATATATATATATATATATATAAGTTCTATAACTTTATATTATTTTCCTCCTACATCATATAAAATCTTTTAGTTTTTTTACTTGGTGTTACTTGGTGTTACTTGGTTTACTTGGTGTCCGATTCTAAATAACTCATCAATATATATATATATATATATATATATATATATATATATATATGTGTGTGTGTGTGTGTGTAAATACCTTAAATTCGTGGAATGCATCGAAACTGTTCGCATATGAAGCATTTGAAAGAACCCTCGTAGAAACTTTAAATTGCTTGCTACTAGCACCAGGTTGGAAATAAGCAGTACGGAATCTACAACAAAGTTCAATTTTTTTTAGTAAAAATGTTGTGTATTTGACATATTGATTGTGAAATTTGTAAAAATTAAAATAGTATGAATTAGAAATGTATTTCTCTCAATGCAAATAATTTTTTTTTTATTTTTCTCCAATAATAATATTATACTAGAAAAATATTATATATATTATTTCTAATTATAAGTACATTACTAATTACAAATTGATTTCAATCATTTAATTTGTAAGAATTTAACACCTAGTAATTAGATCTTATTCTGTTAGTCAAAATATATGTGATAGAAAAAAAATATCTTGAATTTTTCTTTTATGTTATAGCTTATAGAAAATGAACAGTTCTATGGATTCATCATGAGGTATAAGTCATCGCTTATCCATATTTGATTTTTACAATTTTTATCTTAAGGAAGTTGAAAGTTGAGCGAGCAGACTTTTTGCGATAAAACCTATAATGTCTAATAATTGTCAATTACTAACCCATCATCCTGGACTTTAGACAAAGCAACTCCAAAGACTCCATCAGGCCAGAAAAACTGAACACCACCCACATCGTATTGTCCTGACAAAGGATCGCTGTGGAAATAGTTGTGTTCAATTCGCCAGGATTCATCTGCGTCAAATGAGTATACTACGAGCCCATAGCCATTTGGATCAGAAATATAAGCGATGGTGTCATTGCAACTACGTGGGTCCAGTACCTAAATGTGAAATCGTACTAAATAAATTGAATGAGTAATGGATAATTTTATTGAAGTAAAACTTCTTTAGGCGCGACTAGGGTGTAAATCCGTGCAAATGCAACGGTGCGTTACGGCAGATAAGATAAAATAAGAGTCGAGTGCCATTCGTCATTCGTTCTCTATGATATCATTTCTATAAGGGTCGATTGTGATTAGTCGTCGTGTATGTGAATAGAGATCTGTCGTTGAATGCGTACCGGCATCAACGTTGTATGCGTACCGATACCAACAAGAAAATCGGCATAGATAAATAGGCATTTTAAAGTTACATTGTAGTACTAATATTGATTTAATGAAAAATGCCTGAATCAGAAGAATATTTTACCCCGTTCCCAAACATTTGTGCCGTGTACTAAACTTAAATTTATTGAATAGAAATTATTTCTATATTATTCGTAATTTCTATAAATCTTTGAAGTTATTAAAATGGAAAATAATTTTTAGACAGATATTACAGCTGTTCAAAGAATGAGATTATATCGCCCGCAAAAAGTAAAAAAATACAAGCAGTCATTGAATGTACGTTAATTTTAATTACATGAAGTTCTTCAAACATAATTACATGATAAGTGAAGTTGCGAAAACAATATTTGTTTAGGCGTTGTTTAACATAATACACTGTGTTATACGAATATTATAGAATTTACTAATCAGCAATTACTTCATTTCTCTAATGAAGGTTCATTTCTAAATGCTAATTACAATGACAAATCGATCATGTCATATTAGAACTATGACTTTACATTATTGTTTTTAAATATTATACAAATTTTTAACGCTATTATGAATATATAATTAATAATTTAGCATTATATAAATGTGTATGATGGTTGACACTAATAAATGTGTGCATCATGAGTGTTACCATATTACTAATAAACATTAATTAAAATTCCTATATAAAGTATTTATATTTACTTAAACGCCATCTTGTACAGCAGCAAATACGTTTTACTTCAATCGCGTGTGAATCTCACGAACACTCTTTTTTTTCAAAAATTAAGCCTTGGAAGAAACACATGCTTGCAATTTTACGTGTGTGATTTAAGTCTTATGTACATAACATAAATATGACTCAGGTACAAAACATAATTATTTTATCTCAAGCTTTTATGTATGTGATGATTAGAATAACATGGTTTTTAGTCAATATATATTTTTTGACTTTTGAAATAGTTGTAAGTGGTGTTTTGCCTTGTAAATTATAGAATAAATCAATGATAATTTGCTCTGTATATATCTGTCTAACTCTGTGTCTGTCTAACTTTCTACATGTCTACTGGTTTACCTTCTTGACTATCTACCCCTATATTTTCCATCTATTTACCTGTCCACCTATTTACCAGCTATTTGCATACCAGTCATTAATTGATTTAGCGCGATGAAAAAAGTAAATGAATTGATTGTTTGTCGTAAAGTAAATTACTGATTAAGCGCGATAAAAAAGTGAATGAATTGATTATTTGTCGAAAGAAACTTTCAACAGTTTATTCTATGTCGTACTTTTAACTAGTTAATTTTTTTCGTGTAGCTCAAAATTTTTTAGCTTTATTATACTCGTTTTTATGAATAGTCAATTTTAAGAAGAATAAATAAAAGTACGAGTATTTTATTTTTAAACGAATCTATCAACTATCATCTGTTGCAGATAAGTAAACAGGTAGATAGGTGTACATGTAGATTGGCTGCTTCTAATAAATATAATAGATTATGATTGCAATATTTTTAAAGTAAGGGAGGTAGAGAAGTAGGCAGATAGGCAGGTAGATGGGCACACTGGTAAAGATGTAAATAGGTAGATTATAGGAGAACAAGTAGATAGGTAGAGAGGTTGACAGGTAGATAGGTAAACCGGTATACAGGTAAAATGTAGGCAAATAGATCCTGAAACAGGTGAACAAGTAGACAGGTAGCAATTAGATAGGTAAACATGTAGATAGGTAGATAATCAAAGGTAGAAAGATAAGCAAGAAGACAGATGTGCAGGAAAAAATATAGACGGATAGACTAGTATGAAGGTATTATATATGCAAATATGTAAGATACATGAATGAATTTACATACTTTGATCATAGAAACTATTTATAAGCAACTAAATTTTAGGTATATATAATAACTTACCATATGAGCGAAGAACGAATTGTCGTTGAAATCCGAATCTTTAAATGTGTATCGTCTGATGAGTTTGTCGGTATTCAGATCGTAAATTAACAAAGCTGGTTTGGCTAGCTTGATCGGTTGTTCTGCGTTCAAAAAATTCAAAAAATAATATTGAAACATGTTTATTCAAATGTTACGATATATATATTTGGCAATGGAATATTTTTGCATTTTTATGCTTTCGTCTATACTTTCATTAGAACATAAAAACGTCCACGTAAATCAAATTTAGTATCACTTTTGGTGCAATTATTGATGTTAATATAATTTATTGCTGAATTTAATTTTTATTAGGTTACTCGTCATAATGCATTAGATATATTTATTCTTGACCTATTATGTAAATTACCTTGTTTTAATCGCATCGTCTCAATAAGATTTATTTATGAATTTATAGGCAAGGACGTCTCAAACATTTCATGCTTCTAGACAAACACCATGCACTTGAACTATTTTGTGTGGCATATAACAATAATTATTTTTCTATCTAAAGTAAATTATCTACCTATGAATTATGAAAAGCCTCACCAATTATGTCAATAGATCCAGCGTCTAATACCCAAAGTCTATCACATTCGTCAACCCTAATTCTGAATACAGAAAGTAAATTTTCATCTTCGTATAACTTTTTATCACAGCATTTATAATCTTTAGGAATTTCAGGTAGAGTGTTATACTTCAGATTTGGATATGGTATCAACTCTGGAGTTTTGGTTTTCCCAATGGTTTCATTAAGTGGTATATAGGCCAATGTGGAGGCTACTCCACTTTTCCATCTGGATAATAAATAGAAAGATTATTAAATATATAAAATTCTAATTTTAATTATTAAAATTACATTATAATTAAGAATAATTAATTATCAAAGATATAAAAATAAAAATAGAAAATTGCAATCAAATGCTATATTTTTTCTATATTTTCAACTTCAAAAATATTTAATTTGAATTTAGTACAGGTAACAGTTATCTGCAAGTATGTATATTTTAACAAATATTCATCTTCTTCGAATTCTTTCGAATATATGGATATTTTCATATTATAGTCCAAACATATTGCATCATATAAAATATAAATTAGTTTATAATATTATTATCATGAAAAATTATATTATTGAATGCCGCAGAATAATCAAGTTTATTAAATCTATTTTATTTTTTAATAATATTTTTAATTTTCTGTAGGGCAAGTTATAGTAATCGCAAGAAAATCGAAAATGAAAATTTTTATATATCTTTACGATTCAAAGGTTTCTGAGTATTTTGGCATACCTTAGAAAAAATGGATGTATGTGTGTGTATGTGTGTGTATGCGTGTGTGTGTGCGGATACAAATTTTCGTCGACGATTTCGGGAACACCGATCAACCGATTTGAATAATTTAAAAAGCATTCGATTCGTATTGATAAGGAGACGTGTTGATTAGTTTTGTCAAAAGCAGGTCTAGCCGTTTCGAAGATATGGAACAAAAAGTGCCAAAAATGGTAACTCAGTTTTTATGAGAACAGAACGTCCGATCTTAATAATTCAGAAAACATTTTACTTGTATTGACAAAATAAAGAATTGATCAAATTTTCATAAAGGCAGGTTTCGGAGATCTATTAAAAAAAGTAAAAAAAAGCCTATGAGTTCCGTACCAATGTTCATCCGTTAGACGGCGACGCGGCGCTTACTCGCTTTGACATTTTGTCTCTACGCAGTTAAAGCAGTACGATTGCTTTGAAAAAAAGTTCAGAATTTCCAAAATTTGTCAAAATAAAGAAAACATTTTTTTAAATATTTTTTTTTAATGCTTTTATTGCACAAATTTTAATTTTTTTATCTTTAGTATATTTACAATATTTTTCCACTTACTATCATATCTAATTCTAATTTTAATTTAAAGGTACCTCTATTAGAAGTAAATATTTATGTTATTGTTTCAAACGGTAAAATGAAAAACATTCATACATTTTTTTCCAAAACTATTGTAAATATTTCATGTTATATAAAAATTCATATATAAATAATAGAATTTTTTTTATGAATAGTATTTAATAAAGGTTCATTATTACAAACTCAACAAAACACTTACCTGGGAATTGTGAGAAATAACTTATCTTGCCACCTGGCCATTCCCAAGATAAGATTATTTTCCTTGATGTATGTACCATTTTTAATATATTCTTCTTTTATTTCATTAGAAGGCCACACAAAATCTACGTCTTTCCAAGCATAGATTTCTTCGAATTTTCCTGCGTATACCAACGCGATATTTAAAATAAAAAACAACGGTATCCACATTGTAAAAATTTCCCAATGATTTCCTTTGAAATGATCGGTGCTGTAGTTTACGCACGAATGACTCTAGCTAAATTACGTATTTGCTAATTATATATTTGTGACCTGTAATTACATGTTAATTTCTGCAAAGAAAACAAGTTAAAGATAACTATTGTTGTGATATATCAGTTATAGTTAATTCTTGAAAATGAAAATCAATTACATTATGCAATGATTGCCGAGTTTAATCAGATGATAAATGTAAGATAAACGATACGCACAAAAAGAAGAGTTTTTTGAAGTTTTATATAATTAATATAAATTAATATTAAATTAATATATTAATTAATATTGTTTAGGACAATAAACTGTTACTTAGGGTACCGTACCAATATGCACAAAAAATTATTTCCTAATTTAGTAAAAAAAAAATCATTTCTCAAATTTTCGTGATTTTTCAAAATTTCAATTTTCCCAAAATTTTCGAAACTTTGTTTGTTCCTTATTTTGATAATATAGTTTTTTTGAAATATGAGATTGCATTATGATGCATTCATTTATATGCTTATTTATGTTTCAGTACCTTTCGTTCCCGATTTTATATGATTATATATTTTATCTTTAAAATGCAAATTATAATAGTTACAGCATTAATATAAATCTATTTTCAAATATAAAAACAATTGCTATTGAACATTGATCAATTTACATTGATTATTCTTTTTATTTTTTTATTGTTTAATTATTGCACGGGAATTTTTGAAGCCATTCTGAATCGAATGAGACCAAATTTGGAAAAAGCATGTATGTGTGTGTGGTGTGTATTTGTATGTGAACAGATTTTTTGCCTTAAATCGACGTTTTCTTAATTTAAAAAATTTAAAAGCCATTCGATGTATATCGTTGAGGATTAGAGTTTTCGCGATGATCAGTCAAGCCGTTTCTTTGTAAATCGCAGAAAAGTGAAAAATTTTTTGTCCACGCCATTCTCAATCATTTTGAAAATTCATAAACTGTTCGGAAGATAATGGTTGGGAATCGTGCTGATTAGTTTTTGGTAAAGATCGACCGGGCCGTTTTCTTGTAATAAAGTGATGATTTTTTCTGACGGTAGATACCATAGTCTTATATAAATATTACGGCCCTACGACAAGTCGTTTAATTTTTAAAATTTTTCAAAGTTTGCAAAAACTAATATCGATTTTTTGGCATTTGTCAAAATAAGACCTTTCATCGACGTTTTCTCAAAAACGCCTGAACCGATTTCAGAAATTTAAAAGCCATTTGATGTATTTCAATGAGGACTATAGGTTGCAAGTTTTGTGCGTTGGTCTGCCAAGCCGTTTCTTTGTATTTTGGAAGAAAGTGTTAAACTTTTCGTCCACATTTAAGCTCATACTACCGAATCGATTTTAAAAAATCAAAAACTGTTCGAAAGATATTAGTTATGAATGATACTGATTTGTTTTGGGTGAAAATCTACCAAGCCGTTTTCTTGTAATTAACTGTTGAAAAAAAAATAAAAGCCGATTTCTATAAAACTTTTTTAGGCGATATATATATCATGATCTTATAGAACTTACTAAAATATTACGGTCTTACGACAAGTAGTTTAATTTTAAAAATTCATCAAAGTTGGACAAAATGAGTAGTTTTTTTGACGTTTGTTAAAATTAAAATTTGACGATTTACTTGGTATAATTATAACTTTTTAAATTCTAAATTACATTATCGAAAAAACATATAGATCATCTGTCTTGATGATGAAAACGTAAAAAAATTGTAAAGACCACATATTTATGTCATATTAACTTCCCCTAGGGCAGGTTTTAGTAATCGTCCATAAATCGAAAATGAAAATATTTGCATATCTTCACGTTTTAAAGGTTTCTGAACATTTTGGCATGCCTTAGAAAAAAATGGATGTATGTGTGTGTGTGTATGTGTGCGTTTGCTTTGTGGGTCTACAATTTTTGGTACACGACATATATGTGACTTTTAGCATTTCAGCTAGAACTAAAAATAATATTTAATTAAAAAAATATATTTTTTGAAAACTAAAAAAAATATAAACATTTTTTTTTGCTTTCGCCAAGAACAATCGTGTTTCGCTAGAAATAAGTAATTTTAACTTTGAAATACGGTATATATAATCTTTGAAGTATGAGATAGGATCCTTCATTCTAAAACCAAATATTTTATTACGGTACGGAAAGTTCCACCAATTTGCCTAAAGGTACTATGCAATTATTTTTTACCACTACTTTTTTTAAATATTTTATATAGATTTATTTCAAAAGCTCAAATATTTTTTAATGTTTTCCTATGTTATTAAATACAAAAGAACTGATCAATCCATAGTCATTAATAAGCTTAATCGAATCAATAAAAAACTATCCTGCGGTTGCTTGTAGTATCTATAAAGTTTAGTTTATATATTCATAATTATTTATCATATAATATTTATGTTTGATGAAATAGAATGCTAACAAATCTATAAAAAAACTATTTGAAAAAAAAACGAACACTTTTTAATAATTATTATGTATGATTTGAAACGTTTTCTTAGAGTGATAAAAAACTAAAAAAATATGTAGTTACTATACAAATAGCATTTATTGAATTATAAATAATTTATTTTATGCTATTTTTCATTTAAAAATCAAAATTGTACCTTTACGTTTTATGAGTAAATAAACCTCCTCCAATAGTCGAGCCAACTTATTTCTACTTCTGGAAATAAACTAGTAATAAATGCACAAGTTTAAAATTATCGACAAGTATTATTACTGTTATTTTATTATTTTTTGCTGATAACTTTATCAATTCGCACTGAACTGTTGTTGTTCGCGCAAATGTTGCAAAGCGACTGGTTTGTTTATAAACGAAGGAGCGAATCGCTCGTGCCGAAGAGCAAACTTGTACATTACATAGAGGATTGAATAATCTGCAAAGCAAAAAGTACAAATGAAAAGCTGTTATGGACATTTAGAAAGGTCTGCACTACTTTGAACATCAGACCTGCACTTGGAATACAGAATGTTGCAAATAATTTAAAAATTGATATATTTTTTTCCCTATCCAATAATAGCTTGATCTGACCTTTTTTAGTACTTCTAGTTTCAACAATATAATCTACAAGTTGAAAGTGAAAGTATTGAAAATCAAAATTTAGAAAGAAGAAAAGAATAAAAGTAAATTAAACTGGTTTAAACGAAAAAGAAAAACGAAGAAAACGAAAAAGACTATCTTCACGAAACAAACCGAATAAATCAAATGTTATTTGAATCATTCTAATCCGGTGATCCGTTCTCTCAAAAAATTTTTGCACTTTTTGCTCCTGATCACATAAACCACAATTTTTTGCGCATTTAGCTCCGTATCTCCAAAACCGATAAATCTATAAATAACTACATAAACCATTGAATATCACACAATGTGTGAATGCATTTTCTGTAATTTTTATAACCTTTGCAAAAAGAAAAAATCAATAAGTGCTAATTTTTGCACTTTTAGCTACGTACCTCCAAAACGGCTAAACCTGCTTTTATCAAAAGTAATCAGCACACGTCTTTCCGTCAATATAAATCAAATATTTTTTGTACCAAATCGTTTGTACAAATCGGAAAATTTTAAACTGATTTACACATCTCCCCTAATTAAATGGAATAAATCGAATGTTATTTAAATCATTTTAATCGGATGCTCCGTTCTCTCAGAAACTGCTGTTTATTGCACTTTTTGTTCCGTATTACCAAAACGGTTGAACCTGCCTTTTTCCAAAACTAATCAGCATGTCTCCCCGTCAATACAAATCGAATGTTATTTGAATTATTCAAATCCGCTCTCTCAAAAATATATTACTGAATTTTCATCGACAGTAAGTGCATTTTCTGTAATTTTCATCGACTATTTAATTTCTGAAGTATATTAGGAAGATGACAAAATCAATCAGTAGTATTTTTTCGCACTTTCTGCTTCAAAACTCCGAAACAGCTAGCTCAAGTTGTTCAGAAAACCTAGAAACCTAAAGATATAAGTTTACAATAACAATTGTTATGAGGATTTTTTATTCGTCGTTGAAACATATTAAATTCAATAAAACAGCTAATGCGTCAAATATGGAAAAGTTTTAGAGATTTTCTTACTAATATTCTTATTCTTTGAGCTTATTAAACTAATTTTATTTCTGGATTCATGGCTAACTTAATTTTTTTTAAGAGTTGAGCTTCTACTTCTTATGTCTTCTCGTATTATGAGTGACTTTAGATCAATGTGGATAATGTGGTTTGTCATAAACTATGGAGCGTTGCTAATCAGTCTAAAAATCTTGTTTTGATTCTTCGAAATTCTTTTCTTCGAATTACGTATATTTTCCTGGCCCCACAGATCTGTGCCATACGTTCATATTGAAATTATTATGACTTTGTATAATATTATTTAATTTTCTAGAGATAGTATAGACGATCTCCCTGAGAGCCAATTAAATTCCTTCAGTTTTAGTTCTATGCCCGATTCTTCATAGTTATGATCATATTTCAGCTAAGTTTGCTATTGATACACTCCTCTATAAATTTGAATGATTTTTTATTTCGAATAACTGCGTTATTCAGATACACAATTTGTATGATTTCTTAGAAATATAATAAGATGTTGTGATTGACCAAAAAATTGAGTAGACAATTCCGATCATATTTTCTGATATCATTCAAAACATGACAATAAATTATAATACAAATTAGTGATAAAAATGCTGCTCATGATAATTTAATGAACAAATTTGACTTTTTTTGAATACGTCTATGAATTCAAAATATATTCAGAATAACCTGAAAATTTAAATATTCTATTTT